GGCCCCCCCCCCCCCCCCCGGGGTCCCCCAAAATACCCCCGGCATCCCCCTAGGGTCCTCAAAAACTCCCCCGGAATCCCCCCCCGGGGCCTCCCCAGGGACCGCCAAATCCACACCGGAGATACCCAAACCGACACCCTGGCAACCATCTAGCTTCCCCCAACCCCACCCAGGGACCCCCAAACCGATCCCCCAAACTGACCCCCAAGGACCTCTGAACCAACCCCCTGAGGGGACCCCAAACTGACCCCAGGGAACACCTCAGGAACCTCCCAAGGGGACCCCAAACCGACCACAGGGACCTTCCCAAATGTTCCCAAACCATCCCTTCACTGACCTCCAACTGTCCCCCACCCCCACCAGGTGCCCCCTGCTGCCTCCCAATCACCCCGCCGCACCTGTGGGGAGAACACGCGCAGCAGTCGGTTCACGGGGGCTCCCTCGTGGTCTCCATCGAACTCGAGCCAGAGCTGGGGGGGCTCTGTGGGGTCCCCGTCCTGCCCCGCGGGGTCCCCATCCTGCCCCACAGCCCCCACCAGCTCCCAGCACAGCTCGGGGTACGTCAGGGACAGCAGCACGTGCTGGGGGAGCACGGGGGGGGGGGTCACCCACAGTGCCCCCCTGACCCACATCCTGCCCCCCAACCCACCCAGCACCCCCACCAATACCTTCTGGCGGGGGTCAATGATGGTGACTCCCTCGAGCCCCACGGCAACGCTGACGGGGCGCAGCCCCCCCCGGCCCAGCAGCCCCCCCGATGGCCGCTCAATGGCTCCCGGGAAGAAGGCGCACCTGGAGAGGGGAGGGACACACCAGGGTCACCCCCAAACCCCAGGGTTCCCCCCAAATTCATGGGTCCCCAGGTGCAGTGTGGGGTGACGTGGGGTGTCAAGATGCTGGGGGGGATCTCTCAGGGCCTGGATACTGAGTAACTTTGGGGTCTAGAAGGAGTCCTGGGGGGCTCATTGTGGGTCTGGGGGGAGCCTGTGGGGCTCAGATATTGGGGAGGGGTATCTGAGAGAGGTCCCTGAGGGGGTCTCCGGGGCTCATGAGATGTCTCTGGGGAGCAGGGTGGCTTCATGGGGGGGTTTGGGGTTCCCTGGTGATGTGGGGGGGGGGTCCCCGTCAATCTGGGGGTTTCTGGGTGGTGCCTGGGGGTGTCCCTTTTGTCAGGAGGGGTCCCTGGGAGGAGCCTTTGTGAGGTTTCCTGAGGGTCTGAGAGCGTCAGTGGGAGTGTCCCATTGGGGGTGTCCATAAGGGTGTCCCATGGGGGTCTCTGACTGGGGGGGTGTCCCATGGGGGTCTCTGACCGGGGTCCCCCCGTGCCCCTCACCCGTAGCCGGGCAGGGCGTGGCAGCGGCGCAGGAAGTCCCGGTACAATCCGGCAGGGGGCGCCTCGGGGCCCGGCGCACGCGCGAAGGCCTCGAGCAGACGCTGGGAGGGGCCCGGCTCGCGGGAGCGCCGGAACAGCGCCCCCCAGCGGGCCGGAGGACCTGGCGGCAGCAGCTCCCCCAGCATCGGCCTGGGGGGGACACCAGGGGGGTCACGGGCGGAATATGAGGGTCAGGGGGTATCGTGTGGCCAAGGGGTGGGGGGGTCCCATGGGGTGAGGGAGTCCCAGAGGAGTTCCTTTGGGTGGGTCCCAGGTGTATCCCATGGGTGGGGGTCTCACGGGGGTGTCCCAGGTATGGTTTCCAGGTGGAGAGGGTCCCGTGGGAGGGTCCCAGGTGTGGCCGCAGGTGAGGGGTCGCGGGAGATGCCCCAGGGTGGTCCTGGGTGTGGTCCCAAAGGGAGTCTCAGGGGTTCCCACGGGTGGGGGTCCCATGGGCAGGGGTCCCGCGGGCAGGGTCCGGTCGGTGCTGACCGCAGGCTGAGCTCCGTGTGCCGGCCGGGCTCGAAGGGCCCCAGGCGCAGGCGGCAGCTGAGCCCCCCCAGCTCGGCAGCCTCGGGAGGGTCCACGGGATAACGCCCCGCCTGCAACTGCTCCCGCGCCTCCTCATAGAGCAACCGGAGCAGCTCCTCCTCCTGCAGCTGTGACCCAGAGACCCCCGCGTCACCCAGAGGGACCCCTAAACCACCCCAGACCCCACCCTACAACACCCCGTGTCCCCCATGTACCCCTCCCATAGATGCCCCCACACTGGGGACCCCCGTGTCCCCCTCCTCACCTCCAGCTCGCGGCTCTTAGGGAAGAACACGTTCCTGCGCAGCTGCAGACACGGCTCATCTGGGGGGGCAGGGGTCAGTGGGGCCGGGGGACCCCCGAGGGGACCCCTCCCGCCCCCAAGGGGACCCCTCCTGCCGACCTCCCACCCCTCACCTTGGGCGATGGCCGCGGGCGAGCCGAGGCTGAAGCGCAGCAGCAGCTCCGGCCAGTGCCGGACCAGGCGCAGGGGTCGGTGCCGCGGCTTCAGCTGCACCTCTGAGGGGGGACACAGAGCTGGCACCCACTTGGGGACCCGCGGAGACCCCCACGGGGACCCCCACAGGCACTCATCCACAGGGAGCCCCCACCCCATCCTCAGCGGGATCCTCCAATGTCCCCACCTCACCAAGCTGTGACCCCTTGTCCCGCCTTATCCCCGTGCTCCCATTTCCCCTCCCTGTCCCCACGTCCTCCCATGCCCCCCATTTCCCGACAGTTCGTGTCCCCCTGTCCCCCCAACATCCCCAGGTGTCCCCAGGTGTCCCCCTGTCCCTCTCCTCATCGAGCAGCTCCGACCCCAGCCACAGCACGAGGTGTGACCCTGCCATGTCCATGTTCCCCGTGTCCCCCCCATGTCCCTCCTTTGTCCCCATGTCCCCCCATGTCCCCCCTCACCGAGCAGCTCCGACCCCAGCCACAGCGCGAGCGCGTCCCCGGCGGCGGGCGGGAGGCGCAGCGCTCCCTGCAGGCGGCGCAGCAGCTCCGCGGCCGTGGGGCCCGGCGGCGGCTCCAGCGGCAGCGGCAGCGCCGACCCGTCCGGCAGGTACAGCAGGGCTGGGGGCAACGGGGGGCTGTGCGACCCCCCGGGACCCCCGCGCATCCCCCGGGACCCCCGCACCTCCCCACAGCCACCCCGAGACTGAAACACCCCCACACAGCCACCACAACACACACAGCCCCGACCCGGCCGGCAGGTACAGCGAGGCAACGGAGGGCGTGAGACCCCCACCCACGGACCCTCATCCTCACCCAGGGACCCCCATCCCCACCCAGGGACCCCCATTCCCGCCCAGGGACCCCCACACCCACTCGGGATTCCCACCCCCAGACTGACACACCCTCGGGACCCACCCAGGGACGGACCGAAAGGACTCAGGGGGGTTCCACGGACACGCCCTCCCCCAGACCACCCCCCAAAGGGTCCCACGCCCGCCCGGGGGTCTTACGGCCCCCAAAGCGCCCCATGCCCCCTCCCCTAACGGGGGTCCCACGGCCACGCCCACAACCGGACTCACGGACCCGCCCCCTCCCGTGGCCCCGCCCCCTCACCGGCAGCTCCCGGTGGGGCGGACGCGCCCTCCCCCTCCCCCTCCCCTTCCCCGTCCATGAGCGGGGTCACGGAGGGGTCACCGTGGGGTCACGGCTCCGCGCGCTCCTCGCGCCGGTCCCGCGCGCGGGGCGGAAGCGCCACGGGTGGGCGGAGTGGGCGGGACCTGCAGGGTGACGTCATTGCGAGAGAGGGGCGCGGGCCGAGGGGCGGCGCCCCCTGGCGGAGGGGAGGGCTGGGATCACCCCGATAAAAATCTGGGGGGTCCCGGCGGATTCGGGGGGTCCCGAGGGGGTCCCGGTGGCGGCGCAGGAAGAGGCGGAGCCGCTGTACGAAGTATAGAACCGTGTATTCCTCTGTGCGCGGCGGGGGGGGCGGCCCGGGGGGGCTCGGAGGGATTCGCGGGGGCTTTCGGGGGGTCCCGGCAGGACCCCGGGGGATCCCGACGCCAATCGGGGCTCTCGAAATTAAAAAATAAACCCAAAGAAATACCCGGGGAGGGGGCTCGGGGGGCGGTAAAAAACCGATCCGAGGTTGGGAGGGGGGCGGTTGGGAGGGGGGTTCCCGCACCCCTCTCGGGAGGGGGGGGTCCCGCACCCCACGCGGGGGGGTCCCGCGCGCCCCCCGCGCCCCCCCCCCGCGCGCCGCCCCCCGATCCCGCGGCGGAGGCGGGGGGGGGGGCACACACCCAG